ACTCTTTATCTGTGCCCATACCAGTTCAATCGGGTTTAATTCACAATGATATGATGGGGATCTAAGTACTGTTATTCCACGATTTTTGGCAATTTCATCAATTTCGTATTTTTTAAATTTTTCTTTATGAAGGGCACACAACGAATAAAGTTCCTTTCTTATAGATCCGGGATGGTACGTAATATTTTTTGAACTCATCCAATTCTGCAAGTCTTTTTTTAACCACTTGGTTGTGGGCAGTCCTTCTATAAGTCTGGAGTGATAACTTGCATTATCCATTACTATTACACAGTTATTAGGAAGAAGATCTATCATTTGTTCGAACCATTCTTGAAAGACATCAGCGTTCATTTCTTCATGGTAGTCACCGGTACGAGTTGATTCAAAAGTTAATAAACCACCTTCAACAAAACCGTCTGAACTGCCAATGTATACTATTATCAGCCTGCGTCCCTTTCCTGATTGGGGGTTTAAACCAGTAGATAAGTTATTTACAAAAGCGTGCCTTTGACTTGTAACAGTTTCATCCTGCCAAAATTTATTTGGTGTATGACCCTCGTTGATCCATGTTTCATCAAGATAAAATATTTTTCTTTTTGGTTTCTCATTTCCTTTATGGTTCTTAGAAAATGTCTTCTCCATATGACAATATCGCTTCTTTCTAATAAAATAGACTTTCTGGGATTCTTTTTCCAGCGGAAGCCTATGTATTTTAAAAGTTTCCATAACGTACTTCGACTCATTTCAGGCTAATCCTTATCATCTTGAACTGAGACAAGAACTTTATCCAATGTTGGAAATTCTTGTCTAAAGAAGAATTCATGCACTTTCCGTCGAAGTCCTCCTTTAAAATGATATTCTATTTGAAATTTTGGTTTCCCTGGAGCATTACGTGGCATTTGAAAACTACCACATTTCTCTTCTTTAATAACTCTGTAAATCGGTAGATTTCCCAACACCAAGTGTACTGCTAACTAACTTAACGGTCTCATCAAAACTTTCACATAAACGTTTGTCTGTAAATGATTTAAAACAATTAAATTTCAATGTTTTTTCATTAACTGTTAAAGGACCAATTTTTCGGCGTTTACACGGCACTTCCAAATTTTCCATAACACTAGTATACACAATAAACTGCACCTTGCAACTGAAGTACCTACTTTAAGTGAACTGTTAAGAATTTTGAATACGCCACTTGGACCTTCCTACAAAATGGAAAAACCCACTATCACATTTTCTGTGGAATAAGTTTAGAAGGTAATTATCTAGTCAATTACTGTCGTAGATTTCTGGAATTAAAGAATTATATATTTGATTGTTGAAACCCTTACTTCGTGGAATGCACTCATTTCAGATCAAATAAAACGTTTTAGTTTATCTAAAGAATTAAACTTTATTTTGCAAATAGGTAGGTACTTATTAAACTTTTATTGGTTATATATAACCAATAAAATAAACATCTTACATTTCTTGCAAATTCATTAGTACCTGTTAACCTCCATCACTCCGACACTGGCAACCTTATTTAGGGATTAGTAACTCACAAGTAATGTATTCTATTCTGCTCCAACCTTTATACCTGGTGGTCATACTCAATTTAAAATTGTTTTCCTATATACTTCTGTAAACTTGTTGACAAATATATGTTTTTCATTGAGTCGCCCGTATCAACAGTTTAGGGATTTGCATACATAATTTATTGTTTTATTACTCTCTCATACATAAAAATACACTATAGTGGAATAACATACATAAGAGTTAGATTGATTTATGTTAAATAGATGTCATCTGAGAGGGTGAGGTTGTGATGTCATCTGAGAGGGTGCACATAATTGGCTCCCGGTGAAATTCTTGGAAATTTAGGTAGGTAGGAGATGGATTTTATTAGGGTGGATGGCCAGTTCAAAATTGGATTTTTCCATTATTGTGGCCATCCAGTTGTAATATTTTATATCGACTTCCCCTTACTATATGTCTTAGATAAGACATTTTTCGATGTGTAACAGTTCTCTATCTTTATTGAAGCTCCTTAGTACTTCTTCATTACTTTTCCTTGCTGTCCAAGGTATCTTTAGGATTCGTCTATTTCCATTCGAACCCATATTTTCAATGGTTCAATTTTGTTTATGATCGATACTTTTAGCGTCCACACTTTTGCACTATATAAAAGTACGGACCAAACATAGCACTTAACCATTCTTTGTCTTAGTTCTAGACAGAGATGGTTATTGCAAATAAATGACTTCATTTTCATAAAAGTAATTTTAGTCATTGCTATTCTAGTATAATTGAAGCTTTGCATCGGGATAAGCGTCACGACTAAACACTAAAAGTTTGGTTTTGTTTGAGTTCATTTTAATGCCCATTTTCTCTTCTACCTCGTGAATACGATTGAAGCATAATTTGAAGACCTTCAATATTATCTGATAGAATTACTGTATCGCCTGCATATTTAATCAGATTAAGTAGTTCCCCGTTGGTTTTTATTCCATATAGTTGTCTCTCAAGTGCCTTTTTAAATAACTGGTCCGAGTAAACATTGAACAATGTTGGCGACAAAATGCAACCCTGTCTGACTCCTCGTTGCATAGAGACTTCATCGGTGTAGTTATCTCCAATTTTTACGATAGCAGTTTGATTCCAGTATGAATTTTTGATGACACGAATATCCTTAATTACTATTAAACTGGGAATAAGCCACAATTAAAAGTAAAAATACGTTTATTAGCGTTTCAATTTCCACTTCGGAATTCGTTGTCAAAATACAAACAGTAAATTGTTTATTTTATTTTCAATTTACTGTTTGTATTTGTAAACGTCAATAAACGTATTTTTACCTTTAATTGTGGCTTATTCCCAGTTAAATAGTAATTTATTAGTATATAGTATATAGTATAGTATAATGAGTATATAGTAATAATTTAAAATGCCACAAGAAAATAGCTTCAGAACAATACGAATATCCTTGTCATCTATTCCGATATTTTTCAGTATTTGCATTAATTTTACATGCTGTACTTTATCGAATGAATTTTCGAAGTCCACGAAACATGCAAAAACATCTTCTATCTATTCATCTAATTAATCGATATTCTGAACATTTTCTCGTATTGTATTTTTAGATATTGCGACAAAGATGGATTTGAGCCAATCTGTGGTAATCACTCTGGTGTTACATATTGAATTAAAAAGTCTTACTACTACTTTTATGTTATCATTCTCTAATAGTTTCAGCAACTTAGTTGGTGTATCATCTGGACCACGCTTTTCTAGCGTTTCTAGCGTGTTCTACCTCGTATTTCATAAATTCTGGGCCGTCAGTACAGCTTTGATAGAATTCGGCAATATTATTCCTGTCATCTTCAAACAACTCTGATATATACAGCTGCCAATCTTTTCTTATTTTGTGCTCATTTACAATAATTTTGTTATTATTATCAACAAGTACAGAGGGAACCCGTTTTTTAAATATGTTACTCATTTCTTTCAGTTTTTTGTGCATATTAAATAAGTCGTGTTTAGATATTAGATCCTCCATTTCGTCGCACCTTTCTCTCATCCATTTTCTTTGGCTAATTTGATCTCTTTTTTTATTCTTCTCTGCAGGTGTCTATGTTCTGCTTCATTAGATTTTATCAGTCGACGTTATTCCATTAATTTCAAGATGTTGTCTGTCATCCATTTATTTTTCTTGATTAAGTTTCTTGGTTTTTAAATTCACTTCATAGTTCTTCTGGTTCTTCTAGTTTTTCTCCGATGTTTTCTATTCTATTGTTAAATTCTTTTTTTAATGTTATGTTTTCAGATTATATCGTCAAAGTTAAGTACATTCGATTTTGGTTTTTGTCGCTGAATTCGTTTTAACCTTAGTTTAATATCTGCTATAAGTGATTGATGATCAGATCCAATATTGCCCCAGAAAATGTAGTGACTTTTTTGACGGAATTTTGGAAACGGTTATTTACTGCCTTTCTAAAAGTATATAGTCTATTTGATTTCTTGAAGACTCAGGGTTATTGTCATCATCAAATGGGGATTTCCAAGTGTATAGTCGTCGCTTGGGTAGTTTGTACCAGGCGTTTGCAATGATCATATCGTTTTCGTTAAAAAATTCACACAATTTCTGTCCTCGATCGTTAGATTGTCCTAAACCATAAGGACCTATAGTCTGATCTCGTCAACCTTCCCCAATTTTTGCATTGAAGTCGCCTATAATATATAAAATTTTGTGTTTATTAAGTTTCTGTAACATGTCTTGGATCTAATCATACAACTTCTCGACTTCATCGTCATATTTTCTATCTGCAGTCGGGGCATAGATTTGAAGTATGTTAGTTTTAAATGGTTGAGTATATATTTGGAGTAATATTATTTTATCCGAGACTGGTACGAAATTGGTCACATATTTAGTCAGTTCTGATGTTACTAATATACCTACACCATTTTTGTGATGCGGGTCTTTTGTGCTGTTACCGGAATAATATAATACACTTTCGTCCTTTTTACATGATCCTGAATCTGGCCATCTCATTTCGCTGATTCCCAGTAGGTATATTTTCATTCTTTTCATTTCTTAAATTGCGTTGTCAAGTTTCCCAGCCGCAAAATAGACTTCTAACATTCCATGCGCACATTCTAAAATTAGATTTCTTCATTTTTATGATTTCTTCACGAGGTTTTCGCATGTTTGCGACCTGAGAGGCCCATAAATATGTTTCTCCTCTCCTGCCGAATCTTGGCCTCTATGACCTGGGGTGCTCTATGAGCAATTAATGCAGTGGTTCCCCTTTGCCTCCTGCATTCTTATGCCGTTGACCATAATTTGTTCATTCATCCGCCTTCGGGGCCGATTTCTCAACCCCAGGACAAACGAATGCCCTACAACTCACCAACTCATCCGCCATAAGCTGTTGGTCAGTAAGTGGGTCACCCGAAATACTGGAAATACTAAAAAAAATTAATATTTTTTGATAGTTTGTTGATAATTTTTTATTTTTCAGAGTACACTAGACGTCAATAAATACGCAACTAAAAAGACAATTGCCCAAGGTCTTTTAGACATTGCTCTATTGACAGCGAATGCATCTCAACTGAAATTTATCTTACAAGTTGGACACAAACATGAATTTTACCTTCTAATGTTGATATTAATATCAACCAGCATTATATTACAAGTGAGTAAAAGATATTATTAAACTTAGATTCTTTTATATTTATAAATAATCTTAAAATGTTTCTTTTTTCTTTTACTATTCAGAATTTTCCAATTTTTCATTCTAAGCATAGTCTGAATCGCTGTCCTATAACTTCACGTTTTATCCTAATTGTTGTAGGTAATCCAAGCTGTCCTATGCGTAATTTTGGGAGGATCCTACGATATAAATAAAGAACATCATCAAGACAATGCAAATAAAACAAACAATGTCGTAATGGTGATAAATATTGTGATCATGGCCGTAAATGTATTAATAAATTCCTTTGAAATGAAGAGTGAGTATCTGATTGATATGTTTTACTCAACAACAACATCAACAAACTCTCCAACAAATCCATCATAATACAGATATCAACAAAGAGAATTTAGATGTAAAATTTTTTAGGTACTGATGACATTTTGGTAGACGTGTATATTAAAAACTGAAAATAAAATAAAATAGAATATTGAACATATGGTAAATTTTCCATTTTAATCACTTTTCTTGATTTTTATTGGCCTTGGCAACATTATTAGCAGCTGTATTTATTTTTTTTATTAAAATTGTTATATATTTTTGAAATAATATTTTTATGAATAAAATGTATATTTTATAATTAATTCAAACAATTTATCTTTTATATTTGTTAACCTTATTTCTACGATTGACCAGTTACAATTCCCGCTCGCTATCAAATCAATCCAGACTTGTAGGACTGGAAAAAGAAACAGATAATATAAAATGGGATGTCATAGAAATCCGTGAAGTAAGACGGAAAATGAAGAGCTATTGGAATTAGCGTCAGGAAACACATTTTACTACCAAGGCACATCAACGGGCAGAACAGGCGGTATTAGATTCCTAACCAACAAGAAAGTGAATCGAAGAATAGTAGAAATAACTAGTATCTAGGATAGAGTAGCTAGCTTAACCTTACAACTATCAAAGAGATCTTCTTTTTCCTATGCTGTCCCCATTAACGGAGGTTGGCGACCAAATTTTTAAAAGTTTCTTTGTCTTTTGCAACGTGGAATATTTCGTCTATAGTCATGTTTGTCCAATCTCAAATATTTCGCAGCCATGACTTCCTCTTTCTACATATTCCCTTATTGCCATCGGCTCTACCCTGCATGATGACCTGTAGATAAATACAGTCTTCTGATCATTCCTCAGAATGTTTCTAAGGTATAGAGTCTTGCGTACTTTTATTGTTTTCAACAATTTTTTGCCTCGACTTATCTTTCTCAGCACTTCCTCATTGGTGATCCTGGCAGTCCATGGAATTCTCAACATTCTACGGTATATCCAAAGTTCAACTGCTTCAAGCTTTTTACCTTTAGCCGCTTTACCTTTCTTCACCTTCCTTGTTTTTTTTTTGGAGCTACCTTATCTGCCACCTTTGGATAGGGTGCAATTTTTTGAGGAGAAATATAGTGGTGAATTTTGCTAGTGGATGGTCTAATATCGTCTTCAACTGGAAAATTATTTTCCTCGGATTCGATTGAACCCAGTGGCTGCCCGATTTGTCCGATTTGTTTTACTGGCATTACTTCCCTAGGCGCCATCGTCTCCATTAGGCTCAGTTAATGATCTCTCTGTAGGCAGAGAAGCTGCTAACATGTCATCTGCGAGGACAGTACGGTCTACTGGATAAATTCCGGTCTTCTTGAACCCATTTATTGCGTTCAACGTTGTTGAAGCTTGTAGATAAGCATGGCCAAATAATTAACCAATTTGAGGTAGAGTTACACACTTGCCTGGATTTTGCCTCAGCTAAACTTCCACTTGTGCAGTATAAAAGGTACTTAGCGGTGCCATAAACGAAACATCGAGCGGCTGCATACGGTGACTGCAGTGTGGAGGTAAACATAAAATTGTCACACCATTCTCCCTTGCATTTTCTATAGCGGCAATATTTTATTTGTTACCCCCAAAGTTCCTGGTGGTACGCCATGCATAAAGTGCTGCTGCATATTTACCCTGGGAAAATGATCATCGGTGGGATGAATATTCCACTAGCGCTAATGAATATCACTGCAGTCGATAACTCACCAAGCTCTGCTGATGTGAGTTTACCCACTTGTTTTCTACCTCTCAAGCACTACCTTTGATGGACGCCCTTGCATTGTTGTGATCCCCGTTTCGTCCACATTGAAAATTCGATGTGGAGTTAACTGCATCTTATCTTGAAGAGGCTTAAAATATCAAAAAAAATTGTTATTGCTTGTTAATGCAAGACTACGAGTACTTCTTGTTGTTAATCCATATAACATCATTTTCATGTTTTTTGCATATTCTACTAACTTTTGTTCCAATTCCACCGGGTATGTTAACTTCCTTCTGCCAAGTTTCTTTGCGGTTCCTTTTGCTACTTGAATTGTATTCTTAAATCTTTGTTCTAGTGTTGACTTGGGAACATTAAACGTTTTCGCAGCACTCAGAAAACCATCAGTACCATCTCGTACAGACTCCAGGGCTCTAGCCATCGACTCTTCGGACCACGAATTGCGGTTAGATTTCCTTTTATAATTGGAAGGTCTCTGGAAATAAATGAAATCATATATAAAAGAGATCGAACGGAATCCCGTTTTACATACACTCTACAGCCGCACTTTTAAATTTAGCGCGCAAGGACTTCAAAAGTAACTTCAAGTATTTAATTGGTGACTTTAATGCCAAAGTGGGAAAGAGAAACGACAAGGAATAAGTCGTAGGAAAGTATGGAGTCGGTGATAAAAATGAGAGGGATAAAAGACTGGTTCAGTGTCGACTACCAAAACATACTAATTGCAAATAAATTCTTTAAGAAAACATCGAACAGAAAATAGACTTGGGTAGCACCAAATGGAATCACTAAAAACGAAATTGACTTTATTCTAACCAACAAGATTGCTACAATAAAAGATATCAGTGTAAAAATTCTTCTAGATCTGAAACTAGAAAAAATAAAATTAATCACAAAATCAAGAGTAACCGGTATAAATATTAACATTCTAGAAGAAAACTCATAACACTAATAAAAAGGAAAATTAATGAAAGATTACATGACCAAATCGACAGCTCTGAGTTAATGGAAATTATCCTTGATAGTGCCAAAGAAATCGAAGGCCCGCAACAACAAGAAGAGACATAGTAAGCTGTCTGATAAAACTAAAATAACTCTAAAACAAAGAAGAGAAATGAAAGTAAGTAGCAACATACAGAGAATACAATACTCAGAACTTTGTGACAAGACAATAAGAACCAGTATTAGGAAAGACATAAGAAAATACACGGAAAGAGAAGACTGGTAGAAAATGCAATCGAAAACAGGAAAAATTATAAGAAAACAAGCCATTAATACAGGCCATCTATAACCGATCCTTAAAGGCAAAATAGAGGGCCGTAGAGGTGAGCTATAAGGTCGGTTGATTCTGATATGGCACACGAAGAAGAAAAAAAGCAAAGGAAAAAATCTACTTGCATTTTTGATACATTATTCATCTTCATTCTCTATTTTTTCTGCTTCGTAAGGATGTAATGGCTATTGGAATATCCCAAAATATTATTTGACTGATTGATATTACTCATCTGTCAAGGTTGGTGATGCGGAATGAGAAGTATCAACAGATTCAACTAATCCGGAAACTAATTGTCGAAACCAAATTCAGATTCCTGCTTTAATCTGTGCCTTCTAAGAATTGCAAGGCAAAACAGACGTTGATAAAGATGTAATAAGAGACATGGGGAATCTAAAATTGCATTCGGTTGAATTTGGTTTCTATAATTAGTTTCCGGATTTATGATCAGATGTCGCTATTGCGTCCATATCGAAGCCATTTTAGTGTTCAAAGCGTTTTGTAAATAGACGCTTCGAAGATTCCTTTTAGTAGGAATTACAAATTCAGATTTAGATGTCACAAAAAGGACAAACGTACTGTACGTGAAATCAAATCTTAACTATCTTTCACTTTAACCCCCGCCTCTCCCATTTCTTTGACTATCTCAGCTGTTAAGTATTCCATCTTCCCTTTTAGCTTTTCTAAATTTTAGCTTTTTTATCGAAGCCTCAATTTGTGATTTCTTTCTCATAACTTACCTTAAACATTCAACATTATTTATATATATGAAGATATTAAACAAAGACAGATAATATGCGTGTATGAATACATTTTAAAATCAACCATCGACGTAGTTATGACTAATAAATAATTTAAGTTCATTTATTAATAAACATAACATGCAGATAAGACAATATGCGATTAGGCTTAACTGTTTTTTTAACTATTTACTTTTTCTTAATAATGAATGCCTAAAGCGTTTACTTTAATTTTAATAAACAAAAAGGAGACCAAATCCTTAAAACGAATTCTATTTTTTTTTATTGTATTATTAGTTATTACCAGTCCGATGTATCGGCTGATAGGAATGTATTGAGTGGGTTGCATAATCAGTAGTGTATGGCTTAGTATTATAGGCCGTAAGATTTAGGAGACATTCATTGGACTTTCCGAATTTGAATTTGATACCGATTCGAGCACGGGAAGTTTAACGAATTTGTCCTCCTAGGCCATATATTTAGCCATTCAATTCAACACAGCGATTCTTCTTCTTTAAGTGCCATCTCATAGCTATTTTGGTAGGAAGGTTGGCAATCATCATAGCTATTTTGACCTTCGAGGCAGCTGCTCTGAACAATTGCCTTGAGCTGCAACTAAACTACTCTCTCAGGTTCTTCAACCAGGAAACGCGTCTTCTTTCTACGCTTCTTCGACCCTCTATTTTTCCTAGAATTATGAGTCTCAAGATGTTGTATTTCTCGCCTCTCATCACATATTCGAAATATTGCAATTTCCTTTCTTTTATTGTATTTTCCATTTCCCTCTCTCTGCCTATTCTCTTTAACATTTCTGTATTCGTGACTCTATCTATCCATGGAATCCATAACAATCTTCTAATGTCCACATTTTAAACGCGTTAAGTCGATTTATTGTATTCCGGTTTAATGTCCATGATTCAGCTCCATAGTAGAGTACACTTTGTACATAGCATTTAATTAGCCTTATTCTGAGAGCCAATGACAGATCTTTGCTGCATAAAATCTTTTTCATTTTCACGAAGTTGACACGAGTTTGTTCAATTCTGACTCTTATTTCTGCAGTATAATCGTTATTTTCTGTGATTATCGTTCTCAAGTTAGTATATCTTTTTACTCTCTCAAGCTGCTGGCCGCATACCGTTAATATTTCCTTTGTATTGTTCTTCTTGCTAATTTTCATGAATTTGGTTTTTTTTTTATGTTAAGAGAGAGACCGCATTCTTCACTATATCTTAATATTTTGTTTATTATTCTTTCTAAGTCTTCCAAGTTTTCGGCTATTACGACTGTATCGTCTGCACACCTAAACTTTTGTTCACTTTTATGCAGACTGTCTCGTTTACCAAGTTTCTTGTATGATTTCTTCAGAATAAGCATTAAACAATAACGGCGACAATACTGCAATCTTCCCTGACACCTCTCCTTATTTCCACTTCTTCTGACTATACTGCAATCTTGCCTGACACCTCTCCTTATTTCCACTTCTTCTGACACTTCTCTTCTGACTCAAAGATGCCAAACATATTTGGGTCAGCACGTTAAAAGAAA